GAAACTTGGAATTTCTGAATTTCAAAATTTACCTCGAATCTCACTGGCGAGAAATCCACGACTACTGTAGGCATGCACACTTCAAATGCTGTGGACCAGTACTTCCTGGCAGCCACTTCCAGACAACATGGGTCCTGAAAATTTCAATTTTTTCTCAATAACTCTATTTCTCAATATCTCAATGACTCATTAACTCCACTTCTCAATGGCTCAATTTCTTGATAACTCGGTATCTCCAAAGATCCATTTCTCCATAACTCCAAATCTCCATAGCCCCGTATCTTATTATCTTAAAATCTCCTTAACTCCAGATCTCAATAGCTCAATTTCTTACTAACTAAAATTCTGATAATCTCAAATTCTCAAAAATTCAGAATTGCCTATCACAATAATCGCGCAAATTCAGAAATTCAGAAATTCAGAAATTCAGAAATTCAGAAATTCAGAAATTCAGAAATTCAGAAATTCAGAAATTCAGAAATTCAGAAATTCAGAAATTCAGAAATTCAGAAATTCAGAAATTCAGAAATTCAGAAATTCAGAAATTCAGAAATTCAGAAATTCAGAAATTCGAAAATTCCGAAATTCAGAAATTCAGAAATTCGAAATTTCCGAAATTCAGAAATTCAGAAATTCGAAAATTCCGAAATTCGGAAATTCAGAAATTCAGAAATTCAGAAATTCAGAATTTCAGAAATTCAGAAATTCGGAAATTCGGAAATTCCGAAATTCCGAAATTCAGAAATTCAGAAATTCAGAATTTCAGAATTTCAGAAATTCGGAAATTCGGAAATTCCGAAATTCAGAAATTCGGAAATTCGGAATTTCCGAAATTCAGAAATTCAGAAATTCGAAAATCCCGAAATTAAGAAATTCAGAAATTCAGAAATTCAGAAATTCAGAAATTCAGAAATTCAGAAATTCAGAAATTCAGAAATTCAGAAATTCAGAAATTCAGAAATTCAGAAATTCCAAAATTCAAAATTCAGAAATTCAGAAATTCGAAAATTCAGAAATTCAGAAATTCAGAAATTCAGAAATTCAGAACTTCAGAAATTCGGAAATTTAAAAAATTTTCAATTTTTTGTTTTTCAGAGTCAAAGGAGTGCTTATTTTGACCGATTGGCGACTGGCATTTTTGGACCACCAATGCCTGACCAACGCGTGTGTACAGTATCTCCCAACGCCAGCTGGAAAAGGATTCTGGTGAGTTTTCCTTAAATATTCTATTTTTTTCAAATATTCCGATTTTCAGGAAGTCGATGACCGAGTATGTGATTCAGTTGATCCTAGACGCCACTATCAGCTTCCACAGTATCATCTTTGCCTTTGGAGGAGCTCCTAACTTCAAAAAGTCTGATTTTACGGAGTCAGTTTTTTTTTTTGAAAGTTTGGTTTTTTTGGAATCTTCAAATTTATTTTTTCCAGATTCTTCCGAAATCTTGTCGCCTACACCTCGACGACGTACGACGTCTTCTGGACCGCTCAGGATTGGTTGGATGGATTGGTGAGCGTTGTTTTTTTGAAAAGAAAAAAAATTTGATAAAATTAAAAAAAAAAATTTTTTTTGAAAATGAAAAGTTTTAAATTTTCAGCCATCGAGTCGAGAAGACCAACAAAAATTGAATGATTTCAATAATCATACAAAAGAATTCTTCGATACGATGAATGCAACTGGACAAAAGTGAGTTTAGAACTATAATTGGACCATAACAATTGAACATTTCGGTCTCAAAATACCAAATTTTCAGACTAGAAAAGTGTGTTTTTGGGTTCAAAAATTTCAAAAATAAACTATTTGAAACAGCTAATAATTAATATTTATTTTTGATATACGAATCTGAAAATTTGAGAATTTGAAAATATAGAATTTTTTGGAATTTCTGAATTTTTTTGGAATTTCTCGTAATTCAAAAGTTTTATTTGTTTTTTTTTCCAGAAACTACAAATGGGCCAACATCAGGAACCGTCCAGGGATTCCACCAACAAATATGGACTGGCTGGGAAATCAGAATCCAGCGTCAGTCAAAACAATAAATCTCGATAAGCTGTGAGTTTGGTAAACTTTGAGGGGTGGTTTGAAATTGGAATTTTGTCCAAAAAAGGGAATAGAGCTGAATATTAGAGTGTCGTCTCGCGAGAAATTTCTTGCATGACTCGCAACTTTTTGTTTTTGTCTCGTCTCGACATTCTTGTCTTGTCTCGCATGAATGCTTGTCTTTAAGGCTTCATTTGGTCGGAAAATTTAGCCGACCGACCGACCCCGCCGAGCCCGCCGACCGACAGCCGACCGTTTTCGTGCATTTGCGCGTCAACGTGTTTGCATACGCTGCATTGTATTTTACGACAAACTACTCACTAAAAGCCTCGTTTGTCGTAAAATAAAGTGCTTCGTACGCAAAAATTCGTGTTTTTGTGCGCTGAATTTTTAAATTTCTGAATTTCTGAATTTTTTTGAATTTTCGAATTTCCGAACTTTTGATTTTCGAATTTTTAAATTTCTAAACTTCAAAATCCTGCTTCTAGGGCCATGGGACCTGGCGCTTGGACTTCTCTACGTGGCTCTATTGCTCAGCCTGGTCGCATTTTTCGTTGTCAATGGTCAAGGAGACAATGATCGAGACATCGAGGATGAATCCGTAAAAATCAAAAATCAGAATTGAAAATTTCAACGGAAACTGATAACGACAAATCACCATTAATTGTGGATGAACAAATTTGAGAAAATGTTTTTTTTTTTGAAAAATACCGTAAAACGAATTCGTTCAGCTCGGTCGGTGGTCGGCCGGCGGTCGGCGATTTTCGACCGACCGAAATGGAAGCCTTACTTGTCTTGTCTTGCGTTCGCGAATGCTCGCATTGTCTCGTCTTGCAATTTCTCGTTCTCACAAATGCTCGCAATTTCTCATTTCCCGTGCAAGACTCGCACTTTCTATGCGAGTCTTGCAAGTCTCGCAATTTGTCTCGCATGATACAGTACTCCACAAAAAAAAAATAATTCCTTTGTACTGACACCCTATACACAACGACTCTCGTTTTCGTTCTTGCCTAACTCTACTAAATTTTGAAATTTTGAATTTCTGAATTTCTGTATAATTTTCCAGCTACTACTGCTACATTCGCCACTTTGTGGACAATTGCAACTGCTACGGTAGCACGTCGTACTTTAAGAATAATATCCCATTCATGGACGATTATGCCTACAACGACTCGAGATATCCACTCAGAAAGTTGGATTACCAGGAGGATTTCAGAATGATTGACAATGGAGAAGGACAACATTTGGGTCGACAAGCAGATGAAGACGAGTTTTGTAATTGAAAAATTCCTATTTTTGCTTTAATTGTTGCTAAAAATTGGAAAAAATTGTTTAATTTTTGTCAAAAACATTTTTTTTTCTAACAAATCTGCTTTAAAATTTTTGGAATTTTTTTTTCATTTACTACATTTTTTTCCGATGATTTTCAACGAGTTTTTTACTAATCATGTGTATGCTTTTCTATTTTCTGGTGCCTGTTTTTCAATCTTTTGTCCCCAAATTTCATTTTTGGAATTTTCAAAAGTTTTTTGATTACAATAAATTTTCAGAAATGCAATCTAAAAACTTTATTTTAGAAAAAACAAGCTTAAAAAATTGAGGAACGGGTCAGAAAGTTACCGTAAAACCTGTAATAGAAGGGCCCAAAAAATCGGAATTTTTTTCAAAAACTGACCTAACTTTGAGCTCGATTTTCTCGGTTCCCATGAATGATATCAAAGATTGGTCAACTGATAAAATGTTTATCATATTATCAGCAACATTTTATCAGTTGACTAATTTTTGATATCTATCATGAGAACCGAGATATTTCAATTTAAAGATGACATAAGCATCTTCAATAGAAGGTATCTCACACTGCTAACTTTGAGCCTATATATCTCGATTCCTGTGAAAGATATAAAGAAATAGTCAACTGATAAATTGTTTATCAGAATCTCGCAAACATTTTATCAGTTGACACATTTTTGATATCTCTTTTAGGGGCCGAGATAATTAAACTTAAAATTGACAGTATGGGGGCCCTTCTATTATAGGTTTTACGGTATTTTTCAAAAAAAAAACATTTTTTCAAAATTTGTTCATCCACAATTAATGGTGATTTGTCGTTATCAGTTTCCGTTGAAATTTTCAATTCTGATTTTTGATTTTTACGTATTCATCCTCGATGTCTCGATCATTGTCTCCTTGACCATTGACAACGAAAAATGCGACTAGGCTGAGCAATAGAGCCACGTAGAGAAGTCCGAGCGCCAGGTCCCATGGCCCTAGAAACAGGATTTTGAAATTCAGAAATTCAGAAATTCAGAAATTCAGAAATTCAGAAATTCAGAAATTCAGAAATTCAGAAATTCAGAAATTCAGAAATTCAGAAATTCAGAAATTCAGAAATTCAGAAATTCAGAAATTCAGAAATTCAGAAATTCAGAAATTCAGAAATTCAGAAATTCAGAAATTCAGAAATTCAGAAATTCAGAAATTCAGAAATTCAGAAATTCAGAAATTCAGAAATTCAGAAATTCAGAAATTCAGAAATTCAGAAATTCAGAAATTCAGAAATTCAGAAATTCAGAAATTCAGAAATTCAGAAATTC